ACAGCATTCAGTCCCCCTAGCTTCTGGATAATGAACAATAATCTGCTTATTAATGTGACCCTGCTGTGTGAACTACCACAGAGAAGCTGATTCTGCCCTCAGTCCTCACAGTCTGATTCACACAATTCACCAGCCTGGCTTCAATCTACACCAATATAAGGTCATTCACACTATTATATCTAAGCTACTATTATGTTAAATCACATTCAAGTTTTTAAACTTTATAACTGTAAAATATAGTCCTGAACCACATAATCAGTCATACATTAAGTCTCCATTTTTGGAACTTGTGCATTAATAAGTTTTCCATTGATATGTAGTTTGTTAATATTGGACAGTGCTTGGCAGAGCCATTTGAAAATCTAGAATTTAAGGAAGACACTACATGGAAGGCAAATTTCAAAACAGCTATTCTTCTAATTCTTATAATAGCTGCTCTTTAATTATTAGTTTTTTTTTTTTAATTCCCAAACAAGATTTTAAACTACAAGGGCTCTATTTTGACGGTCCATGCGCAGAGCGCAAAACGCAGGGCGCAAACACTTTCAGGGCGTGTCAGGACGCGTTTTTGCTAATTTAAGGACAGGAAATCTGCCTTGCGCTTCGGCGGATGGTCTAAAAGAGTTGAGTTTATTTTATTAATGAGTTATAGGTGTGTTTTGAGAATAAACCAATTAGAGTCTCCCATTACCTTTGAGAGTCAGCTGCGTCGTGCCAAGAGCGCATTCGCTATTTACAGGACACAAAGTAAGTCTAAGTGGAAAAAATGAGCATTTCACTATCAAACAGTTAACAGTTTTTTAACAGAAAACTGTTAAACAGAACATCTACTGCGTGAGAATGAGAGATAAATTATCTACTATCACTTTCGCTCTTGGATAGGGAAACCTTTACGCACAGACATCAATTAGCCTATAAATAATTAATTTTGTTTGTTAATAATGAATAATTAATTCAGTTCTGATTTCTAGCAAACGAATAAATGAATAATAATGACCAAGTGTGGTCAAAATACTGAGTTATTTCCAAATACACCTGCCATGCCCCATATGGTTTTAAACCTGGCAGCAGGGCAAATCTAAGCTTGTTTTTAATAAAACAAATATATATATATGGATATAATAAATAATACTGCTAATAATAATAACATTATACAAAAGCAAATTGTTATGAATGAACTGAAAAAGCCTCCCGAGATGAAGAAGACATAAAAGCAGTGGTTTTTCATATTTATGTAGGCTAGAAAATAATATGTTTTGTCATATTTTAATCCTTTATATTTATATCCTATATCTATTCTTATTATATCCTATATATATCCTTAATATTTACATTTTTTCATATGTAAAGATATTTGCCTATTGCTTTCTTGTGTGTATTAAGCAGTGCATAAGCGAGAGCGCCGGAGTTTAGACCGGGTTAGTTTTGGTCAAATGAAAAATCTATTATAGTTTCTCAAAATAGCAACGCGCCAGCGGTCCGCCTCAGAACGCCTTCCTTTTTAGACCAGAACGCCTATGGGCGCACATATGAGCGCTAATGCAATTGCTATTTAAACCGCGTAGCGCAACGCCTAAAAACGACTCTTGCGACAAGCTGAAACTACCAAAAGACTATTGCGCCGCGTCTTGCGCCACACTGCGCCGGGTGTATGATAGGGCCCCAAGATTTTATCACAGCTGCACAAATCATTTAAGATGACATGGTAATGTAACATACAGGGCCCTATCATACACCCGGCGCAATGTTGCGCAAGGTGCGACACAATTGTTGTTTGCTTGTTTCAGCTTGGCGCAAGAGTCATTTTGACGTTTTGCACCACAATGTTTAACTAGCAAATGCATTTGCGCTCATATGTGCACCCATAGGCATTCTGATCAAAAAAGGAGGCGTTGGGGCGCTGCTATTTTGAGAAACTATAATAGTCTGTTTTATAGACCAGAACAAAGCCGGTCTATTGTCCAGCGCAGAGCGCGTTGGTTATTTCAAATTCAAATCGTTTTGAATAATCGTGATTACAATTATGACCAAAATAATCGTGATTATGATTTTTCCCATAATCGAGCAGCCCTAATTCTGACACGCCCCTAATGCGTTTGCGCCCTGCACTTTGCGCATGGATTGTCAAAATAGAGCCCACAATGAGTAAAATATATGTTATTTCAGTACTTTTTCTTTCAAAATATGCATTTAATAAATTTAAATATACTGTAGTTTTAAATATGTTTCTTGGAGATACTCAAAAGTTTTGTGAACAAATAGAAAGCATGAAAATAGACAATTTTGCACACAGTTTCAGTGTAATAATGTCTAATGATTCCACAATAATATCAGCTAAACCCAAATGTCACACTCATGCGCTTGCTTTGGGAAATAATCCCAGTTAGGCTATCAATAAAAAACTTTGGATATGCAGTAAACATTCTGACCTTTAAGACTGCAAAGATGCGCTCTGTGCCTTTAGACAAATAAAGAAACATACCAGCTGAGAACACTGAATTCACTTACATTGATCACTGAGCAAAACTCTAAAAGCACACAAAACCATCGCAGGGTAAATAAACAGTGAAGAGTAGCATTCTAGAAAAGATGTGAAATTGCAGACATGTTCAATTGGCACTTTGATCTGAGTGTGGAGCTAGACTGATGGATTGAGAATCGAGACAGAGGCGAGTCTCGTGGGAAGGGAACTGATAGAGAAATCAAGATGCCTAAAAACACTAGCAGAAAACCTGTAGAAAACCACACTTCAAATAAAGAAGCATTTGGAGACCAGGGCTCTTACAAAGCTGTGAAGAAAATGGTTTAGTGCCTCAAATCCATTCGCTTATGTGTGCTACTTTCCCTGTCAAATCGAATCAAGGGAGAAGTGTGTCATTTCATCTTCCTGTTTTAGAGTAGCATTAGTTTGTGGAGAGAATTAAACATTTGTTGTTCTTTTCTCCCATTCCCCTGTGGAACTGATTCAATTCCCAACCATTTTTGTTCCACTTTACTATGCAAAGCATATTCACCACACTCTGGATTCTTCCCCACTAATTTATAAGCGTCCCAGTTATGCTTTCTCAGATATTATTTTATATGCGGTGCATATTAGAGCTGTTTGTGAATGTATAAAAGTCTGCAAAGCGTTAAAGATCCAAATATACAATAAGTTGAGTTAAATATTTCCTAAAGAAAGAAGCTATTGTAAACATTGAGTCATACTTCCAGCACAAACCTATAAAGATTACTAACAGATTTGTGTAATTCCCTGTCTGTCTTGACCCTCAAACACTAAAGTTGTAGCTTTTTTTGTGTTGTCAACATGTCAAGAAGACACATTTCTAGCACAGATATTCAGATATGATAATTGTTTTTTTTATTTCTGACAATCACTGTATACAGCAATATTGAGGTCCAGGGACAGATAGGGTTAACAGCATGTTACCAGACGATGGAGAGGTGTCGCGCACAAAAGTGAAGAGCAGGGGGTGGGGGGTTATAGCAACTATGGCGGTTGGTGCGGTGGAAGGCGGAGGGGTGGAGGGGTATTACAGATGAAAGTGAGGAGGGTTGGGGAGTCGCGGAAGACAGTGAAAGTGAACAGCAGACGGGTAAGGAGGGCGATCGAGGAGGGGGATTGGTAAAATGAGGTGCCGGATCAGATTTCAGAGGTTAATTTGTTCCAGCACAAATTAAGCCCTGATCACAACATACTTTGCCATCTGACCAATTACAGTAAAGAAGAGCTCTCGGAAAGGCAAGGCTTAAAAATGTGTCAAACAATGAAAATCTATATATATGTATCAAGGTATAATGAGATTTCAGTGCATAAAAATGGCATACCGTGTGCCTTAAATACAATTTTCCCCAAACTATAGTGTAAATCCTGTGAGTGTAAAATACCAGCAAAAAACAAGGAAAACACAGACACTGATGCAAGCCCCAATGCATGCCCCAGGCAGTCTTTGATTGGCAACAATAATTATTTCCCTTACTTTTAAGTTTATCTAAACTTATATTATTATTGGACTTACTGTGTGTGTGGGACTCTTATTTTAAAAAGGATACTATCATTATAAAGCTCTCAGTTAATGCAACCAGGTATGGATTATCTTATAACAGTTCATCGTCAAAATTTAAAATACAGATGATAGGGCCCATAGTGTTTAATAGTTTTATATGTTTTACACATATATATATATATATATATATATATATATATATATATATATATATATATATATATATATATATATATATATATATATATATATATTTATATATATATCTGTTGTCATCTTTTTTAGGGTATAATTAATTTGATTAATCTGGGGTCGCCACAGCATGATGAACCAACAACTTATCCAGCATTTGTTTTACGCAGTGGATGCCCTTCCAGCTGCAACCCATCACTGGGAAACATTCATAAACCTTCGTTCACACACATACACTATGGACAATTTAGCTTACCCGATTTACCTATTCCACTTATTTTTGTACTTGTGGGGGACAACGGAGCACCCGGAGGAAACCCACACGAATATGCGGAGAACATGCAAACTCCACACAGAAACACCAACCGATCCAGCTAAGGCTCGAACCAGCGACCTTCTTGCTGTGAGGCGAACGTGCTACCACTGCGCCACCGTGCAGCAGTATAATTAAGTATTATTACAACACAACTCAAGAGCAAAATTTCATTTAATTTCATTTACTCGCTCCTTCTAGCTAAAATAAACATCTCTACCACTTCAGCTAAAAACACAGTAATTTTACAAAGTAACTACTCAATTTGTTAAAATATATATTTGCCTATGTGTGTTTATGTGTGTGTGTGTAAAGTATATGTGTGTGTAAATATGTGTGTGAGCACCAGTCACTGACATGAGCTGTGGAGCTGTGCCAGCAGAGCTCATTAATATTCATAACCATTCCAAATATGGTCAAAAACGAACCTTTTCATTGTAGGGATTAAAAGTAAAAGTAATGGTAGAGAGGCATGTGAGACATCAAACCTTGCACACGCGGGCGACTCGCGCTACTCTGCTGTGGCTGAAGTATGGACTGAGCTCCTGGCTTTTCTCTGTGAAGAAGAAGTAAATCTTATCGTCATCTCCTGCTGAGCTGCTCAGGCTCTCTCTGACCAGCGCTGAACCCACGAAATCAGCCTCTGAGAGTGACAAAAAAGCAGACTGAGGTTAGCAGATCACCACACAAAGGAAAATAAAAATAGAATTCAATGCAGCACATTAAATTATGTAATTTTATTGTTTATGTCTGTTTTTAATGTACTAAATTATTCCACAAGGTTTGCTGTTGGTAAGATGTTTATGCTTACCAAGGGTGCAATCATTTGAACAAATACAACTATAATATCTATAATAAAAAAATGGTACAATATAAAACAACAGTTTAGTTTTTTAATAAGTGAAGTTTATTTATAAACTTATTTTGAGAGGATCGAGTGCTTATGATTGCATTATCCAATTTATGATTCACCAATCAGACGATTTCTAAGCCACTATAAATACCCAAAGTTCAATATAACAGCCATTTTAATTTAGAAGAATTCCCCCTTCCACCCCTACTCCTCCTCCTTTCCTAGATGGGTGGCACGGTGGCTCAGTGGTTAGCACTGTAGCCTCACAGCAAGAACGTCACTGGTTCTAGTCCTTACCAAGCCAGCTGACATTTCTGTGCGAAGTTTATACGTTCTCCCCGTGCTCACGTGGGTTTCCCCCAGGCCCCCGGTTTCCTCTTACCGTCCTAAAACATGCAACTTAAGTTAATTGACTAATCCATATCGGCACCATAGACATGCTCCTAGTAAGTGGTTATCTCTTAAGAGCAATCACTATCTGTTTATTAGCTAGTACAGCAGGGCAGTTCTCGAGATCTACCTGAGCTCAAACTCCCCTCTCACCTTGCAAGCAGAAAGGAGCCCTGGGCTCAAGGATCTTATCTCTCCCGGGAAAGCATGCCAAACAAGCTTTATAATCAATCATCAGCTAAGTGTGGACTCTTGAAACATTTTTTACTGTAATTCATTTAGTTGATGGATTTTTATCAACCATTTTTAGTGTCGTAAGATGCAGAAATCTTGATTAAATGGAAATAATATATCTATTTTTTGAGGATAGAAAGACAGATGGGTCTGAAATAGCGAAGACTCCAGGGAAAAATGGGAGTGTTGATAGGTATGCTTTAACATGTCTTTGCAGAATAAAAGCACCAAGGTTTTTCATCAAAAAATTAAATAAACTACTGATTAGTAGCATATATATATATTTAAAATGTCATATTGGACATTTATTTACTTAAATTTGCTAAGTGACCAAGATAAATACAGATTTTTAAAGGTAGGAGCTAAAAAATTCAAAACAAATTTGAGATTAAATAGTTTGTCTCAGACATGCAGACACCAATCTAGTGTTAAATGGTTAAATATTGTTATCCTAGAAATCCAAACATATACTGTAGTTATGTTGATGGTATAAGATGAAAAATGGGACTAAAATATGTGATGCAGCAAACTAACCCTGGAGCCACTGAGTCGGAGCCTCCTCTGTTTTCAGTATGGGGTTTGGAGAGTTGCGCCGGATATCTGGAAAACTCCGGAACTCATACTGGGACGCTGTGTACATCTGCTGATCTGAGGGAAACAGAGGGGACAGATGTAGTTAAGAGATCTTCCAGTAAAGCTCTAAAAATTTTGACATCATTCAATTCACATTTGATCACATGAATTGTTCCCGAAAAAGAACCAATACCAAATTAATTATACTGTAAAATATTGTTGTTGACATACCAATTAGCAGGCCAGTGTAGCCTTTTGAGGGGTCATATGGACATTTCTCTCGACCCTCTTCAAAGACTGATGAGATTTTAAACTCCCTTCCATCCTGGAAAAATGCAAAAAATACATGATGTTGAGAAGCCTTTGCAATTAAGTAACTGTGATGATCGAAAGCGCGTTCAACCACTTAAACTCTGCTGTTATTTTGGAATTTCCGCCTAGATTTTGCCTACCCAAATTTAAAAGCTTCCCAAATCCACATGCAGAGGTGTAAATGCAAAAATGTGGTATCATTTTAAAGAAAACTCTTTAAATTTTCATAAAACACTATTAAAAGTGTTTAAAATAACTGTATATGTTGTCTGTGTTATAATAAACACTTAAAAAAGGCGCTTTTTGTATTTTTTTTTTATAAACTCAAATTTGAAAGTGCACCTTTTAGGTTCTGTGTGGTCTAGCGTGCTGTAATTAATTTTGGTGTTTCCTGCACATGTCTGTAATCATAGGAAAAAAGAAAAATGTCTCTACCATAATCTATGCAAAAGTTATTGCATTCCAACTGATGAGAGGTGCTATACAAGCCACAGAGACCGATCCTTGTTTACATATTTCACTATTCTTTTGTTTGATCAAACATAATTCACTGTGTTTAGACCAAATCAGACATATAAAAGGATTGCTTATGCACATCACCTCTAAAACAGAGGAGAATGGCCCTGAAGCGCACAGCATAAGGTAAGAGATGACAGCTGTCTGTGCTATCTGGGGCTGCTTATTGATCATGAATGTATTGTTTACATTTCTGCGCCATGGAAACACCACAATTCATTCAACAACTGTTTGGCATATGAATATAATTCAGTAAAAAAATGCTAGAACTGTATGAGCACCGGAAAGAGCTTTCATTTGAGCTATAACTTGTACATGTGTCATATGAAAAAATATGAAAATGAACCTAGCTCGGGTCTCTAAAATACTGTGTATTAAAGTGTAAATAACTTTTATACAGTAGAATAAAAACCGAAGTGATGCATATGTGCATAAAATATAGATTCTACACTTTCCAACGACACCACTTAAGGGGGTCTGGTGCAACGCTAGCCCTTTAAATCTTAAAGCGAATGTCAATGACGTCACGGACCGTGGTTAATAGTGAAACAGATTAATCGTTGCATCCCTAGAGTCACGACACCTATTTGTTGTTTATAAATCCCCACAACACCCTATGTCAAAGAAAATCATGACAAATTTGTGTGATCTGACCGGGATTTAATCTATACTCCCCCTTTGTCTTCATTTTCAAATACCTTTGTTTTCAGATGTTTACACGGTCGCATCTATTGTGGCATTGAACCTGCTTTGAAATGTATGGTTTTGAGTCAAAAAAGTGGCATTGTCGTATGAATGAACAGGCAAAACATATAAAAAAACGTAATGTTTTAAGCTTAAAACGTTGTCTTGTAAACTGCCCATCTGAATATGAAAACATTGTACTAAAAATAAGCAAGGATTTTTGCTGTTGTCATGTAAATGAAGAGCCAAAATCCATAAAATAATATAACAACTTCTTTGCATTTTTGATTGAAAATGGTGTCAGTGTAAATTCAACCTACAATGTGCAAAAATGGTAGTGACTTACAATGTATGCACACAGAGGGCTGAAAGCATGTGTGCCGCACGTGTACAAGTGTGTGCTGTTGAACCTCTGCAGGAAGCGAATGTGGTTGAAACACTCCGTCTGTAAGAGTGAGGAAATCTACATCAGTACACGATCCAGAGGTGATAACACAATAGATGGAGATTTGACCAACCTGGTTATCTTTCCCTTTGTTCCAGCATTGTTGCATCTGATCGTCTGATGCCTCCCAGTCAATCTGGCCAAGTACAAGATTAACAAAAATTCTTCAACTGTCAAGACTTGTAAAAAGGTTTTCCTGGCAAAACAAGATCCTGCTTCAGTTTGCAGAGCCAAGTTGTACCAACTGCTGTTTGTAAACAACTCTTGCAATAACCTACTATTCGCACTAGTTGAAAACTAAAGTGAAATCTAAAGTCTAAGCAGGTAAAGTATATACAAGTTATTTTAAAAAGTGGTGTATGGTGATTTTCATGGAAAAGGTTGTTTGTTAAATGTGTTCATGTGTCTTACTTCTTTCTCAGTCACCATCGCTGTGTTTAGGGGTACACGGCAATAGAGCAGCTTGACACATTTACAACCCCACCTACTGCATCGCGGGGTGTCAGAATGCCTTTAAGCTTCTTTTTGCACTCAAACAAAAGAAGAACTTTAAAGGATACCAGGGCCTTCAAAGTGTCAAAGTGCAGTCTAAATCTTGTGCATTTTTAGCTGATTTTATTTAATAAAAGTGTAGTGGAGGAATGAAACTAGTATCTTTTGGAAATATGAACATGTTGCAGTCCACTGCGCACTATAATGATGTGTTGATACGTACGGTCTGTGCTAAGCTGCTGGAGACGTCACTGGCCTGCAGGGCGAATAAAGCCCCTCGAGCTCCCACGTACAGCAGGTCTGCGTCCTCCTCCAACAGCAGCAAACTGTAGTTCAGTGTCAGGCCTCTGAAGCGCCTGCAACCCAACAGCCCTGAAACACACACAGGACATACCAGTAAAGAAATATTTTATCCATAAAAGGGATCAGTAAACACTTGAGCGCGAGCTGTGGGTGTTAAGAAGATGTGCTGTTTCTGGTGTCAGCAAGTACATGTTTGACTTGTTGATTTTCAACTTGATTTTCCCTTTTGCCAAATACTGAAGTTAATCTTGAGAGGCGCGTGCTGTGAATTGAAGTACTTCTTCCTCTCGTTCGCTAATGAACAAGTAGAATGTCAGTAAAAACCCTACATTTGCTCTGAGGAGAGAGGATGATTTAAAATTCAGTCATGTTTCAGATGAGGCTGCTTTATTGCCTCGATTTTTTAATGAAGTACTTCTTGGCATATATTTACGCTTTTGTTATTTTTAATGGCAGGCCCTTTTTGTTGAAAATAATTACTAGATATTAAACACATGGTTCGTCCAGCTGTTATTTTTTCATTCTTAAGGTAATTGACTTAATCATATGCTTCTCTCTGTGCTGGATGGCAGCTGGCTGGACTTGTAGAAAAGCTTGTCAGTGCTTATTAAAGAAGTCCGTTTCTTTTTTCTAGGTTAATGTCTAAAGCACCATGTAGACAAGGCAAGACACCACACCTTTACTCTTTTGTGTGTGACCTTAATGAATCACGTTTGATCTCTTTTTAAGTATAATTTCAGAACAGACCTATTTGCATCCAAAATAACCAAGATTTGGTCACACACACACACACACACACACACACACACACACACACACACACACACACACACACACACACACACACACGCGCACACACACAAAAGAATAAAACAAAGTAAGAATTTCATTAAAAGAAAACATTCATTCATTCATTTTCTTTTCGGCTTAGTCCCTTTATTAATCTGGGGTTGCCACAGTGGAATGAACCGCCAATTTATCAAGAACATGTTTTATGCAGCGGATGCCCTTTCAGCTGCAACCCATCTCTGGGAAACATCAACACACACTCATTCACACTCATACACTACGGACAATTTAGCCTATCCAATTCACCTGTACTGCATGTCTTTGGACTGTGGGGGAAACCGGAGCATCCAGAGGAAACCCACGCAATTGCGGGGAGAACATGCCAAATCCATACAGAAATGCCAACTGAGCCAGCCGAGGCTCGAACCAGTGACTTGCTTGCTGTAAGGCAACAGCACTACCTACTGCGCTATCACACTGCCCATTAAAAGAAATCAAAACTTAAAAAGAAAACCAGGATATAAAATAAAAAAATTAATTGAAAAAAATAAAAATAAAAAAAATAAAAAAATAAACAACAAAATAAAGAAAAAGAAAAACATCAAAGGAAATAAACAAATCAATAAAAACCAAAAATAAAGGAGAAAAAAAAGTCAAATATAAAAAGGAATTAAATGAAACAAAACAAAACAAACTAAATTTAACTTAAAAAAAAGAGCACAAGCAAAAATTAAAAGCAAAACGCAGAAACAAGCAAAGCTATTTAAAACTAAAGCAAAATAAAACAAATCTAGCTGATGTTTTATTTTCAATTTTCAATTTTATTTTTTCTGATGTACTTGTAGGATTATCATCTTTAACCTAGTTCACACAACAGGATTTTGGGCCTGATTTGAGCCTGATTTGGAAGTTAACAAGCTCGCCGACAGATCGGGCTGTGATCAGGAAAAAATCTGCAGGCGCTCAGCGCTCGGCAGACATTATGCGTGAACTACTGAACAACGCATCAAGAGGTTCGCTGATGCGTCGCCAACACCTCGCAGATGAAAAAACAATATTTAACATGCTGAATATTCCAGAGCAGCGGACACGACCTCATGTGCGGTCAGATGTAGTGACGAGTTGCAGCCAATAAGAGAGCATATCAGCATGAGCAGAAACGTCTGTGATTGGCCAGAATGGGCATCGATGAACTGGTTACATACTGCATTAACACAGAAATGAGAGTTCTGTATTCTGTAACTATTAGAATTACCATACTGGTCACCGTGACCGTTCACATCATATTTACATTCAAAACTTCTATTGAGATATTAAAATTAAGCTTTAAATGTCTGTGATCATATTTTATGACATCATTACCCTAAAAATATTAGCTTTTTTGGAAATACAGCCTATAAATATGTAGTTGACATACTAAAACATGCAAAGGTCTGGGCCTCGCTTTCATTTTCACTTTCAAACAGGAGCTATTTCGCAGCACAGAAAATGCTGTTTTGAAATATGTATTTGAAGTAAATTTATGTTTTTGCTATCAGAAGTTATGTTAATGTTAACAGGAAGTTGCTAGGCAAAAAAATGCATGCATATTTAAAGTCACAGCAAAAAGTAGCAAATATGCATGCAGTCATTTTGAACAAAATGGTAATTAAAGGTAGAAATGCTCAGTTCTTTGCCGCTTTGTAATTTACAAAAATAGCAATGTTAGAAAGAAATACTGAGATATTTAACAAAATGTCAGGGTGTTATAGATATGTTATTTCAAAGAGTTAAAAATTACAAAAATTAAAAACTTCCTGTGTATCTGTTATGAAGGGGAGTGACACAAACAACTGAGGTTTGGATCCAAATGCAGGTTCAATCAAAGTCAGGCTAGCAATGGTCAACACAGGTGCAAACAGATGTATAAAGGCAAATCCAGAATCGTAGTCAAACACAGGCAAGAGGTCAGAAGGCAGGCGGCAGACAGGAAGAACTGGATAAACAAGGCTAGGTCAAAACACAGGAAACCAAGACAAGGAAACCGCGTCGTAATGTCATCTACAGATAAACAAGACTCTGCAAAGTGAATGAGTGAGTGTGTAGCTTAAATAGTGTGTGCAATCAGTCTCTGACAACCCTCAGGTGGTGCGAGCAATCAGTCTAGATGAGGAAGCATGTGTGAGTGTGACCAGAGTGCATGTATGAAAATGTAGTCCAGAAATGGCGGATATGTAGTCCATAAGTTATTGTTAATGAAATCCAGCAATCTTATGGCATACAATCGCTGGTAATCGTGACAGTATCTATCCACTTGAACCTTGCAGATGAGCGATTGATTCTAGTTACCTAGAAACTTTGAATCATCTTAACCATCTGTAAATACAATTACATCTACATCTACATGACGTGTGGAGTCCCACAAGGCTCGATTCTGGCACCTCTCCTGTTCAACCTTTACATGCTCCCTCTGAGCCAAATAATGAGAAAGAACCAAATCTCCTACCACAGCTATGCTGATGACACTCAGATCTACCTAGCCTTACTGCCTATTGACTACAGCCCCATTGACACCCTCTGCCAATGCATTGATGAAATGAGCAATTGGATGTGCCAAAACTTTCTTCAGTTAAACAAAGAGAAAACTGAAATGATTGTGTTTGGAAACAAAGATGAGGTTCTCAAGGTAAATGCGTACCTTGGCACTAAAGGTCAAACGACAAAAAATAAGGTCAAGAATCTTGGTGTGACTCTTGAGTCAGATCTGAGTTTCAACAGTCATGTCAAAGCAGTCAGTAAATCAGCATACTATCATCTCAAAAACATAGCAAGAATCAGATGCTTTCTAGTGAAGATTTAGAAAAACTTGTTCATGCTTTTATCAGCAGCAGGGTGGATTACTGTAATGGACTCCTCACTGGTCTTCCTAAAAAGACAGTCAGACAGTTGCAGCTTATCCAGAACGCTGCAGCCAGAATTCTAACCAGAACCAGAAAATCAGAGCACATCACACCTGTCCTCAGGTCTTTACACTGGCTGCCAGTTACATTCAGAATAGATTTTAAAGTATTACTACTGGTCTATAAATCACTAAATGGCCCAGGACCTAAATACATTACAGATATGTTCACTGAATACAAACCTAACAGATCACTCAGATCATTAGGATCATATAAACTAGAAGTTCCAAGAGTTCAGTCAAAGCAGGGTGAATCAGCTTTTAGCCACTATGCCCCTCGCTGCTGGAATCAGCTTCCAGAAATGATCAGATGTGCTCCAACATTAGGCACATTCAAATCAAGACTGAAAACACATCTGTTTAGCTGTGCCTTTACTGAATGAGCACCGTGCTGCGTCTGACAGATTGATCATGTTTTTCTCTTCTTCTTCATTCTTTTATATCACATTTTTACCTGTTTTTATGTTTTGTTTTGTTTTTACACATTTTTATTATTTGTTTTTATTTTTATTTTACTTGTTTCTTTTATTCTTGTTTATGTAAAGCACTTTGAATTGCCATTGTGTATGAAATGTGCTATATAAATAAACTTGCCTTGCCTTGCCTTACATTCCTATATATCTGCTTGTCTCACACGCCATTGTTTCGATCGATGCTGTCTTGTGACTGAATAACGCGCAGGTTAGCAAATGCTCCATTCAGTTCCAGTTTCTGTCATACATACAACTACTCAAGACAAACTTTCCGCCTAATTCACAAAACATGTGTACGTACACAGGTGTGTTCTTCATCTTGTTCTTCTGATAGTAAATATGAATTGTTCTCAGAAAATGTCCTCATGCACGTGATTAGTAATTTGCATAGTACACGCCCACACCAGATCCACATAAGGGCTTTGTCTACAGAAAATGATAAGAAATCAAATTAGAGTGACAAAAAGAATTGACAATTATGGCAACAAAATGACAAACGTTGAAAATTAACGTAAATGGTAATCAAGGTTTTGATGTTGGATGTGCAATTCTTATGCTTAGTGGCAAGAGGCTTTGTAATAAGTGGGATAAAGTACTTCCAGGATGGTTGTTTCTTACAGAATAAAGCCCTTCAGCTTCCCATGCAGGCTGCCTGTCGGGCTTTATTCTGAGATAACAACCTCTTGGATGTACTTTATCCTTTACATACAACATGTCTGTGAATATACTGGCAGTAGCAGGTTTCTGTACATGCTCAACACATATAGTCAAAGCAGCAACATCACCCTATCATATCTATGTCGACCAAAAACATAAACATTGGCAAATACATATTAATTACCATATTAAATCTTTCAGAGAGTTGCCAT